CAGCAGGAACATCCGCAAAGTACGTAGCAACAAGAACATTCAGCCCAGCCAACGATGACTCCATTTGAGAGTAGGCATCAGAGAATGCCTGTAATTGGTTGGTGTCCAGATCCATCACAAGTGCAGGCTCATCAAACTGAATCCATCTAGCTCCAGCAGATTTTAGCTTAGCCAAAACTTCTCTGACAGAACCAATCATCAAGAAACATTTTTAAAAATTTGAAGGACCATGAGATAACTCCATTGTACATTGAATAGATTTCATAGCAGTTGACCTCAAAAAGCATTCTTACTGGTAAACGGGAAGAATCTTGTTGATCAGAGAAAGAAGAGAGAATGATTTTTCAACACCCTTTGCTGGTTTTGACAGAAGCAAGTAAGTGACAGGACCAAGGAGAACAGGAATTGTGTCTATACCAAGCTGTAGCATCAAGAACAGAGGTCGGGTGGTCAATAATATAGAAAAAGACGAAACAGTTCCATGATAAGAAAACATTGCAATGCCCCCGATTATTACACTCCCAAATCAAAACTCATACAATAGCTCAAAAAAGGCAAAATATCTGTAAAGGTATCGACCAACTTACTGCTTTTGCCTCCATAAATTCACTCACAGCCTTGTGAGATGCATAAGAGAATTTGACATCAGGACCCAACTCAGGAACAATGTAATGGCTGTAAGAGAATATATCTTGTCATTAAAACCTGAAAAAGGAGCTTTACAGACATGGGAGGGTGAAAAGAAAGTAAGCCCGATACTTACTAATTCGTATCAAACCACTTGGTCATTTCCATTGCAGGGGCAGAAGCATTACCCCGTGCCATGGAAAAGTAAATATCAAATCCGACCTCACCACCTTCCCAGTCATATCTAGGTGGAACAGCCCCAAGCATGGCTGTGGTATCCAATACTTGGTCATAATATGAGAAGGTGTTGCTAGGAATATACTTGATTCCTGCCTCAGCCATTTGCTTCCATATGGATGCTCTAAGGTCAGCTGCAACCTTTTGCAATTCGTCAGCACTGCTCTTGCCATCCCAGAAGGACTCCAATGCAAACTTAAGTTCCCTCTTGGGCCCAATGCGGGGATATCCAACAATATGGGAAGACATTGTTCTATTCTTTCACAAGCAAGAGGTAACCCGGCTTACTTAAATGAAAAGTGATATAGCGACATAAATTACTTTGCTGAGTCCAGGGATTTCATGGATGCTGAATTGCTGATGCAAATGGATCATGAGAAAACATTTTTTCTTACAAACCACCAGAACAGAGAACAAAGGAAAATACTTCCTAGGAAATGGCATCGAAGGCTAATAAAAAAAAGGAACACTCTTTTGTTTCCCTCTCGCATCTTCTTCCTTCTCTAATCATCCAAAAGGGACATACTATACCAGATCCAACCGAAGGCGATAGAAACAAGACAAGAGAGCCACTTCACCGTACAAAGATATATCAAGACAAGAAGAAAGTCGCCCCAAGTGAACAAAGACTAACAAGTAAAACACAGAGAACAAACCCATTCATCAGTACGAGGGAAACAACGACACAGCATGAACCACGACCCACATCAATCCAACAGTAGACAAGCGGCATAAGAGAAAGATACAGAACAAGCATGTTAGTTTTCAACACTGGATAAAACAGAAGCAACGACTTAGGTAGTGATAGAACGGAAAAAAAGCATCAACCAAAGCAAATTGAAACCGAGAAAATAAATCCAGCAAAACAATGGAGAAGACGAATACGAAGAAGACAGCGAATAACACATGAAAACATTTCCAGTACCGATTCTGTGAGCGTGCCGCAACCGCAATTTTCATTACCAAAAACGAATACAGAGTAACTACCCAAAAAGGGAAGACAAAAAAAGAAGACATGCACGAAAAGAGACAATAAGCCCCACACAGAAGACGAGTTTCAGAGATAACAGGCTTCTTCCCCTTTCCTCCATTTTCTCGCTAAAACAACAGAAACCCAATTGACATCGCAAATGACAAAAGCAAAAATTAAACAAATGAATAAAACAAGCAGCAACATCACCGCAGTGGAAGCGAATTCCAATGGAAAATACGAAAATATGAAATCGAAGGAAAACACAAATGTGCATCGATGGAGAAGAAGAATACGAAGAAGACCTGGCGCCGAAGAATCCGCGTCGGAGAGAACCCTGTCGGAGAGAGCCCTGCCGCAGAGAGCCCTGTCGGAGAGAGCCCTGTCGGAGAGATCCTTGTCGGAGAGATCCCTGTCGGAGGGAGTGGCGAGTGGAAGCAGAGCCAGAGAGAAACGGAGAAGGAGAAGGAGAAGGAGAAGGAGAAGGAGAAGGAGCGGAAGGAGAAGAAGAAGAAGGAAGAGAACGAGAGCGCTTGGAAGAAGCAGAAAACGGCGAGAGTTTCTTCAGAGGGGCCTGACCCATTTTTATACCCTTGGGTATCTCCGTCTCCAATTCTATTCTATTCTCAGGCCGGGGGAGGAGGAGGAGGAGGAGGAGGAGGAGGAGAGGTTCTGCGAATTCAAATTTGTTTTTCCAGTTTTTATATTGATTATATTTTTTAAATTATTTTTGTTGTATTTATCCGATTTGCTGGCCTCTTTTGCCGGGCTGGGGCTCCCGGTCATTTTGTTAACAAATTTCCGGACTTTGTAAGTTAAACCAAATTCAAATTATTATTAGAGGAAATTAGGGACCAACAAAAAAAAACTATTAACTATTTTATTTACATAAAAAATTTATTTAAAATTTATTATAATAAATCTGTATGAATTATTATTTTGTAGAAAAAAACCATTTTAAAAATAATATTTTATTTTATATTTTAATAAAAAAATCAAATCTAAATTATTCAAAAAATATTCTATTTAATTTTTGTTATAAAAATTTAGAAAACATAATATTTATTTAAATATATCATATTATAATATTTAAAATTTATATAAACTTTATAAACATCATTCTTTATATAATATATTTGTATAGAAATACTATATTTAAAATAAAATATAATTTATTAATTGTAAATATTATATTTAAAATTTTTATTTTATTGATTCTTAAAACCAAAAATACCAATGAAATGAAGATCTATCTACATATATAAATCAACCGGTATATATGGTCGTGAATCCGTGATAATAAGAGTACTATTAATACTAGAATGAAATTAAATAACACTTTTTTTTATATAATTTTAACTATATGAGTAACTTTATTTTAAATAAAAGGGAGAATTAGGGGTGTCAATTTGGGTTCGAGGCCCGAAGTCCGGTCTGGTCTAGTCAAAAAATTAGCAGGTTTCGGACTTAAATTTCTCGGTCCGAAAAAAATCGGACTTTCGGATCGGACTCGAATCGGGTTTCGGGTTCGAGTCGAGCTTCGGGTTCGAGTCGGACTTCGGATTTAACTACTTAGGTCTAAAAAAAATCGGACCGAGTCGAGCCCGAAACCTTCGGACCGAATGCGGACTCGGACCGGATCGGACCAGACCGGCCCAATTTACACCCCTAGAAAAAATATCCAAAAAAAATCTTATATTTTTATTTTATCTCAATTAAAATCATATATTTTTTTCATCTTAAAAAACATATACAATTACTTTATTCTTAAAAAACCTATGTTAAAGTTTTTAATCAAAAAAATTATGTCGTCTACATAACAAACGAAAATCCTATATGGTATTAAAAATTCTCCAACTCATTGTCACGTCACCGCCACATAATATTAAAAATTAATAAAATAAATAAAATAAATAAATAAATACAAAAATAAATAAATATATATATATATACATATACATATATATATATGTATATATTATAACTAATAAATATATATCGTCCAAAATATATTTACAATTTAAAAAAATATATCTTTTAAAAAATTTATCCATTAGTTCTATAAAATCAAACAAAAAATTAAATAAATATATAAAATAATAAATATAATAAAAATATAGAAAATAAAATGAATAATGAATAAAGTAAAGTTTTTATGTGGCGGTGATGTGGCAATGAGTTGGATATTTTTCAATGTCACGTAGGATTTCTATTTATCTACATGGAGGGTAGAGTTTTTTTTAACCAAACACTTAAAAATAAATGATTTTTTATAATAAATTAATTGTACAAGTTTTTTAGGATAAAAAGAAGTGTAGGATTTAAATTAAAATAAAATAATGGTTATTCTCCCTAAATAAAATGATAAAATATATAATAATTTTGTATGATTTTTTATATTTTCTTATAAATACATTGTTAATCTTTAACTTATCAACTGTTATATCTGGCTTTTTATTATCTCTAATAAATCTATCACATCGATATATTGATCTATATATAATAATAAAGTCAGATATCCAAAATTTTAAGATATGATTTCAAATTTGAACCTCGAATCAAATATACGAAATGTTAATCATTAAATCACGTTTTAATAGTTAATTTTTTTTATTATATTTAATATTTGTATTATAATATCTTTCTCTATCTTGTTATGGAATATTTAATCTAGTATAATTTATGATTAGCAAAATTTAACTAATGAACAAACTACGCGTTCCAAAATTTTAGATTGGCGTGTAAAACATAAGGCAAGAGTGAATAAACGAGGCGTTCCAAAAACCGAACAGCGGTTTACGAACTTATTACGGATTGGACAGAAGGGATCGGACAATCCACGCCATTTATGTGGTCACTTCAAAACAGATTACGCCTACAAAATTTGGTAGACGCATCATCATTTATCAATAAAAACCAATCAACCTACGTATACGTTTGAAAATAACAGACGAAACGCCCTCAAGACATGATGCCCCCAATGTCTTGTTCTTTGCTGTTTCTCTTCTCAAGCTTCTCTACATGAAAAAACAAAGCAAAACCTTAAGCAATTCGATGCGCCATCTCGGGCATATATATGACGATAAATTTATGTTTATTTTTACCAGCGAAGAAGGAGACGAGGACAGAGAACTCGGGGACATACCATTGGGTGATGGGGTTGAAACTAGGAGAGGGTTCTTCTGATAAAGAGTTTTGTGGCACATCACTGTATCCTGAAAATCCAAGAAAGTGTAGCTCAATAAGCTTTTCCTCTCTGAATCCGTCATCTCTGAAAACCCAAATGAGTTTATCCAAGTGTTGAGCACGCAACGAACCGACGGCAAAACCAGTCTCTCTACTCCTAATTCTCTCAGCTTCTGCATATACAGACCGTATTCAAGAACACAGTTAAGAGATCGATAGATACGAAAAAGCAACCTTAGCTTATATCCTTCTTGAATACAGAAAAACACCCTGGATTCGTATAACCTATATCTGAATTCTTAAATAGTGATAAAGATAAGGGCATTCTCTGAATATTTCAGTAGAACAGAGGAAACGAACGAATTGAGGCAAGAAAATTTCAGTAGGACATCTATCCAAGAAGGAAGCAACGCAATATAGGTAAAATTCAGTAGTACCTCTTCAAGTTTGTCCATCAAAATTCGACACATTCCATGACGACGATATTGGAACCTCGTAGCAACAATAGGAATCTCTGCGGCGTTTTTTCCAAATATTCTGGAAAAGTAAAGCCAAAACCAATGAAAAGAAATCAAATTAGAGTATCTGTTCACTCACAAAATTTGGACAGTTTTATCGTTCGATCTATCATCTCACGAGATTGTTACCTAATTGCAGCCACTGCTATTAGCTCATCGTTTCTTTCGAGAAGAATTGTGTAGAATCCCGTGAAGTTTAAGCGTCTGAGTTTTGAGCTGCAAGAGTTTGAAGTTACGGGTTTTGGTCGGGCAAATCTATTCAAAGCAATATGATTGTAAGAGCTCACCTCCTGCTGAAAACGACATCTCTGATGATATCTCCCTGAGATTGAGTTTCATCGACCGGCTCAAAACACTCGTGCATGATATCAACGGCTAGGTTTAGCTTGCTTTCATACTCATGATTGAGATTGGCTATGTCTGATTTCAGGGTTTTCATCAATGTCCATGTTAGATTGTCTGAACCCACCAGTGTTTGTATCCCAACCAGCTTCTGAAGGCGCTCGAATATCTGCGAAAGTACAGAAATTAATTGTCACGTAAAATGATCTTTATCTTTGTAAGAACTAGTTGACACACCTCTTTACATTCGTCTCTGCAGAACCAGTTCTCTCCCTTGTCCTTCTCTGACATGTTATCTACGCCTCGGTTAGGCAGGCAAGAAACATGACCTGTAACGAGAAGAAACTGTTAGAAAAAACGTCGAGGAACTCATCTGTTTACAAGGGATTCACATTTTGTTGAAATAAAGTCCTCACATTCACGCTCACATTGATGGCATCTGATAAATTGATCTTCCTTGGAATGGCAGATATCTTGCTTTAGATTCACTTTCCCACATATCTCGCAAAAGCACATCGGACAGAACCAGTCATCATCAGGAACATCCTATGAAAACCGAGAAACTTAGGAAACCGGTATAAACTTATTCAAGATTTGATCCAACACATGGAACAAGATAAAGAGAAATTTATACCTCTAACCTGACGCAATCTTTATGATATGCAGATGGGCATCCGTCGCATAGAAGCAAATCGCCGCCATAGAGACAAAGAGAACAAACATCATCATTCTCTCCTTGACGCCATTTTCTTCTCGAAGAACCGTCTTTCTCCATTCTCTCTCTCACCTCATTGGCCTCCATCTGGCAATCCAAAAGAGATCTTCCGTCTTCTAAGAAGATTTCTGCCGCTGGGGTTTGGTGTTCTTTACCAGCGTGAAGGGAAAAACTTCGTATAGTCATGATTTCACTGCAGCAACCACATTTGATGCCATCATGGCCGATTTTCCCTTCTTTCGTTGTAATTTGATCCATTCCATAGCAGTAAATTTTCCCCTCCAGTGGAATCACGTTGTTGTCTATTAACCAAGAAAGCACGGTTCTCGGATCTTGGTATGTAGAATGCTGAGTTGAGCCCTGACACAATCTTTTTCTCGGGAGTAGGATACGAATTCTACCTCGGTTATCGTTGAGATAATGGCTCGGTTCCACGACCGTTCTTGATTTCTTTCTAGATTTCGCATCCACAATTCTATCTGAAAACTTCGAGCTGATCTTTTGTTGGGGAGAGTCGCATCGAAAGCTTGGAGAATCACTCTTTCGCTTTCTTTTCAGATTTCTGATTTCTTGAACTTCACTGGCTTCATTCTTCGAATGCCTACTTTTCAAGTATTTTCTACATGCTTGTTTAAGGGTATAGACGCAGCATTTACCACATGGTGAAGTGTACCTCGAGAGGCATTTTCTTCCATAAAATATCTTTGAAAATTGCCATCCGATAGCAAAAAGATGTGTTTTCACTTTATCTTTCAAAGTCTGGATTTTCAGATCTTTCTTGTTACACTCTCTATTGTTGATCTCCAAATAGGCCTCTATAGTATCAACAATGTGCTCATCTTCGCCATCGTTTGTAGCAGACAAACTTGGTTGGAAGCTGTCTTCTATATTGTAAGGCAAAACCTGATTCTTGTCATTCTCCATCCGAGTTTTCTCGCTATGTGCGTGGGAATTTCCTGGATTCTCGTTATTAAAACATTCTCGAGAATATCTTGTATCATTGAGTTCTTGAAGGAAATGATCTATGGTGATTATTAGATTATCTTGGATAACTTCAAGTACCAGGTCTTCCCACAATAATCTCTTACAACAAGTCCACTCGCCAATCTCGTCGAAACCAGGTTTAACTCTTATATCATACCACAATTGCTCCATCGAGACAGGAATAAAGTTCTCCTTCTCGTGCTTCTCGATCAACTCAATAACCAACCAAGTCCCACGCTGATGCCACACCTCAGTAATCTCATCCCAATCCTGAGAAATACGCAAAGAGTCAATCCCGACATTCATCACATCGCCCAAATCGGGAAAGAAGATCTTCCATTCTTCAGAACCATCTTTGTGGTCGAGGATTACACCTTCCCACCACGCTTCAACGTGATACACATCAACGCATAGTCCATATCGAAGGTCATGTTTATCAAACAGAATTTTTGGAGACGGTGGTCTTATAGATCCACGGTAACCATCAAAGGAGGAGGGTTTGGCGATTCTTGCCCCTTCTACTACCTTTGAGACAGATACTGTCTGGACGACATTATCCCCGCCATTTTCAGACAGGAGGTGATCATATCTGATATGACGGGCTTGCTTTTCTAGTGCAGTTACGGTTCCAGAGTGCCAAGAACCGAGGAACCCATCTTCGAAACTCCTCACCTGCTCAATTCAACACTCCAAGTTCTAATTACCAAAAAAAAAACACTCCAAGTTCTTACCATGTGGTATTGCAGTGAAAATTCAAAATTATCATGAATATATAGCAGAGATCAAGCCAGAATTTGAATAGCAAAGCATATAAAATCCGACAAGGTTCATTTCAAATAAAAATCAAAAGAACGAGAGAAAATTTGGGCAGAAAGAGGAAGAACAAGATGACGGAGTACAACGCAGATGATATTGCAAAGCCGAAAATGTGCAGATTCTGAGAGTACTGATTCCAAAATTGAAGAACATATAGAAATGCTACTTATTCGGAAAACTTTAGTAAGCTGAAAATACTAGAACCCTAGAAAAATTTAACCAACTACAAACAGAAAAAAAGGGAAATCATTATCCGGGAAAATTCACAACCAATAAACCCTAATTTCTTTTTTTTCCCAAAAAAAAAACAGAAGATGAACCCAGTTAGTATCCAAATTTCACCTCTACTTTTTCACCGACAAGCAGCTTTCTCCGATCACGCTTTTTCTTGTACTTCCCCCTCTTCGAGACAAAGTTAGGATTTTTCTGGTTTGCCTCCATTGAAATTCTTCAGAATCCCTCCTTGGCCTATTCAGAACAAAACCTCGTGTGCAACAAAACCAAGAAATCAATCGAGAGAAAATGAAGGAAAATCTCCTTGGATATCATTCCCGGAGAAGCCAAATGCGGCTCCTTTACGACAGCTTTCTCCTCAAGTAACACGAACTCAAAACCTCTTTCTATTCATGCAATTGCAAACCGAAACCTCGCCAGAACAAATCGCAGCCGTCGATTTTAGAGGGTTTTTTTGGGATACAAAAGGTTGTTCAAAACAAAAAGGAAAATCTGGGAGACAGAATCCTGTGAGGACGTGTGTACAGTGATATGGTAAGTTTAAATTTGTTACCACTATTGACCGTTGGATCTCTTCCTCCGTTAGTCGTCCAAGGGATTGTATTTACAACATATCCTAAGGGGTTCAACTGATTTGATTCGCTTTGACTTTTTTTTTAATAATTGATATAATTATATCTTCAATTTGTCAAAATTAATTAAATATTTTAGTTTCCAATTTAACGTATAAATTTCTGAATGTGTCGATAAATTCCAAATCAATTCAATACTCTATATTTATTTATTAAACGAAAATATCAGTCGAAAGTACACTGTCACAGACAGTCGATTTTGCCATGGATGGCACCTCAACAACTTTAAAAAAAAAAATACCAAATCATCATTGATTAGGAAGGACATTAGGAGCACAAAGAAATGTAACGCTAATGCTATGAACATATCGTCTTTTCCGAATACTCCAAAGACAAGATCAAGAACAAAGAAGTTACAATGTGATCTAAATGGATTCATTCTCAAATGTTTAGATTAAGAATACAACAATATAAAAAACATCACCTTAATCTCAAATTATTTTGGGGCAGTTGCATAAATTCTTCGTTTTCACTTATTTCGATTTTTGTTTAAACCTTTTGAGATTTGTATCACCTTTAAAATCGTTACTAACGACTTGTTGCCAATTAAATCCGTTGGATATGTTCATATTATTCATCCATGATTAACTTTCAATTTTATACCAAAAATTTCAAACTTAATAACTTTCAGAATATACAACCAAATCATGCTATTATACATCATTAGAAAGATAGTTTCGATATCTACAAAATGATATCAAGAACATGCAATTCCGATAACGGTACAGAAAGTTATAACCAAAATAATATCATTATATCAATGACTTTTCAAAATCAGAAAACCAAATCCGAAACTCCGGCGAACCATGTCTCCTTAAAAAAATTATTCTCTACGCGGTACATACGGTTAAATGGAATATATCCTCTTAGGATAGGACGGGCATACCTCACTGGAACTGTGACAACTCATTCCCGAAAATATTAGATAAAACGAAAAAATCGTGATCGGGGTCTAAAGGATTGAATATTAAAATTACTGATGCACTCAGATGTCATCAAAATCAGTTCTTTTCATTCAAGGAAATCTGACTACTACAATATAGAGATAGTTGCAGTAAAACCCAGACGCACCACACTCCCCCTGAGTGTTAGCTCTCCTATGACACGAAATCTACTGATTCAACACACAATCCGTGTGAATCTCCACTCTCACGTTCTAGGTTTGTTCAGATTACTATTGAGAACTTCCCCTCAGAACGATCTCACTCACCAGAAATAAAAACATAAAGAACAAAAAATCTTGTACTCTCTATCTCCAAGATTCCATCTTTATCTATTCCACAAAATCAGCTTTAGAATCTTCTCAGATCTACCTGCAATAACAACCTTAATAAATATTGATCACTTAATAAATATTGTGATCTAAAAATCCCGAATAGGCTTTTAAAATAGTTTTAGAAGCTTAGTAAAAGTTAGAGATCAAATAAAAATGGAGTTTGGCTAAATGTTGGACTTTACTTAGAATGCAAGAGAGTAGTTTTAGCATAATTTAAAACCCGAAAAATTTGTTTCCCAACAAAAAAGTCTACAATGACTCTTGAGAAACCTAAGATTGATCTTATATGCTGATACAAAAATTATTTTACAAACCTTTTTTCCTTAAGAACGTAAATTACGAAATAAAATACGAATTTTAAATTACGATCATGATTATGTGAATTATTAAAATATAACAAATTATAACTAAGGAAATATAAAACCTAATATGAAATATTATTATATGAACTCTCTAACATTAACAATAACAATCATATATATATATGTATATATATAACACATGAAATGTGAATACAAATATTAATAAATATAAAAGTTTGTGCGTAAGGATATTAAGTGGGCATTATAAAAAATACCCTTATTTTGCTATTTTTACTTTAAGACATACCCTTTTTCAGTTGTGATCATGTGATCCATGTGACCCGAAATATAGTGTGGTCACATATTGATCTCATTACTCATAACGTTAAATTTATGAAGTTTTAATCAAATGATTAGTAAGATATACAAGATATGATCATAATAAATTAGTGTGATACCAAAAATTTAACGTTATAATTAATAAAATCAAAATGTGACCACACTATATTTTGGATCATATGGGTCATATGGTCACAGCTGGAAAATGGTATGTGTTAAGAATAGCAAAATAAGAGTATTTTTGATATAATGCCATATTAAGTGGACAAAAGTATAAGTAGATAATCTCATATATATATATGCAAGTCTATATGCAAGTCTAAACATTGTACTAAGGACGAGGCACAAAGTATTATTTCTTTCTATACAAAGCACAACATTAAAATATGTATATAATTAGGGATGTCAATTAAATCCGAAGTCCGAAATCCGGCTTGAGCCCGCCCAAAAAAATTAAAGACATGAACCTAATAATATAGATCCGATAAATAAATGGGTGGGTCGGTCCGACAAAAAAAAAATCAGATCCGAATCAAGTTCGGCCCGATACCCGTCCGACCCAGCCATTTAGCCCAAAGTATATCGAATGATTAGATTTTTATTCTCATATAACATAAAAAAATTATTTTATTTATTTTTATATATATTTATATATTGAATGAGTTTGATTAATATATATACTAGAATTATATATTATTTTATTTCTAAAATCATATATATATATATATATATATATATATATTACCGACTATTTTGATAAGATTTTGGTCTAATTTATATGTATAATGTTTTATGAATTTAATTTTAAATTTTATATCAATATTTTTTTTTATATTTTTTATACCGAATATATATTATATATATTAAAAATATTAAATAAATTTGTATATTTTAAAGTTTATATGGTCATTTTTTTAATTTAAAAGTTTTAAATTGTAGTCGATGTGGATAAAAAAATTTATCTTTATTTTAATATATTTTTATCGGATATAGTGTTAGACAATTGATCAATTGAATAATTTTTTTAATTTTATTTTTGTTTCGATTGAATGTTTATATTATTATTATTATTATTATTATTATTATTATTATTATTATTATTATTATTATTATTATTATTATTATTATTATCACACACAAAATATTTTTATTTAATAAAAAAATCCGAAGTCCGGTTCGAATCCGTCCGAAGCCCTGTAAGACCGAGCTTCAGGCCATCGATGATAGACTCGAAAAATAAATGGGCGGACCGGCCCGATCCGAAAAAATTTAGTCCGAATTGAATCCGGCCCGAACCCTCCCATTTTACACTCCTACCCCTAGTAATTGTTTTAAAAATTATTAATATAGAAAAGGTGTGAACTAAAAAAAAGGTGAGAAGAATGAAGAATATATATATAAAGGAGACAATCGGGACCAAAAAACCAACCAACACATTTGCCAAATTAAACAATCTGTAATGTGGTTACTCGTGATGAATATAATTTGATTTGGAACTATCAATTAAAAAATATTATATTAAAAAAAATCCTTTTCACGAGTTTGTGTTTATGGATGGTTAGCCAAGTGAAAAAAATAAATGTAGTCGTTTGAATATGGTGAAATCGCATATATTAATACATATACTTATAAAAAAAGTTCAATATTGATGTGAACTTTAAAATTTTTAAATAAATACATGGACATTTCCGGACTCTTATATTAAATCTCGAATTTTAAAAAATGATAAAAAAATGCAATTTTTTAAACTAATTTTTAAAATCTGCTATGAAATTAAATTTTAAAATTTTAAATTACTCTCGAATATCACCATGAGGTGGTGATTCTTGAAATTTTTTTAAAAGTTCAAGTTTTAATATATTAATTAAGAAAAAATCGCGTATTTTTTTTGTTGAAAAAGTTAAAATTTGTATATTTATCTAAGATGTTTTTTCTTACAAATTCGTAAATTATTAATATGAGATTTTTGTTTTAATTATTTTAAAACTAGGTCTCAAGTGCTGCCACCACTGCTCATACGAAATCAATGCAGCATTGCTAAACTAGGACGGAAAATAAAATATTTCAAATTTTTTTTCCATCGAACGAAACGGATATGGACTTTCGAAATTTGAAAAATGCGAAAGAAAAAACAGGGAGATGGAACCAAAGTGAATATGTGGTCGAAAACAAAAGAGAAGAGGGAACAGAGCTTTTTGGGCACAAAGTCAGAACTTCATTCAATGGAAGTCCATTCATCCATCCATATAATTTACACACATTGTTTACAAAACACAAGATGGGACAAAACGTGTTGGCTGTTTCACATGAAACACCATCCACTATTGTTTTTTTATTTTGTATTTTTTTTATTATCTAACTAGTTTTTCTAACCTTCGACCCAACTATATCTTTCATAAGATCTGGAGATAGTCCATATGGCCACAACTTTGTCCGTAACACTATCTTCCCCAACCCGCGACTTGAACAAGGGATCTAGAACAATGACATTCCCACATTTCTTAACCAACTTCATCACTCGATTATGGTCTCTCGGATTTATTTTGTTATTCGGTTATATTATTTGTATTTTCTCTTTTTCTTTTAGAAAAAATGGGCGTGAATTTAAGATATCGCGAATAATTCGAGATGCGAGTGTGAATCAAATATAGAACTTTGGTTATATGCATATATCTGAAATTAGGGGTAGATATTTCGGTTCGGTTTTTCGGAACCGAATCGTACCGAACTGAAAGTTTCGGTATTTTTTTCCAAACTGTGTCATCCAAAATTTCCGTACGGTATGATTTTTATAGAACTGAACCGAACCGAACTGTTAAATTTTTTTAAAAAACTTTTTTTTTAAAAATCTAAATTTTGTTAACAACAACCT